TAGTCATATGACTAAGAATTTTAGGTCAATCATAGGAAATAAAAACAAAGTTTGTGGCCTAAAACATTCAAAGTATAATGCTGTTCTTTGGATCTTAACTAGCGCAGTGAAACAAAATAACATATCTGAAGAGGTTTTGGCTTAACGATAGCAATCAGAATATTCATAATATGTAATATTGGAAGACTGTGAATTGAATTTAGTTTTATCTTTCTGCAAAAAAGGGAATTTCTTATTTAAGACAAAGTCAGGTCAAATAAATTCTGATTTCACAAAATAAAAACAAGTAAATAATAAATAGATGAATGGATAAGGGGAAGAAGATGGACAGATGACTAATAAGTAAATGCCGCTTTAAAAGACATACGTTTTCGTGCCACATTCAACAGAAATGTATCTACCTTCAGCTGCAGGGCAAAACTGAGCCACTAGGGGGCCTAATGTCGCTTTGCACATCCAGCTTTCATACAGCTACTGAGCTGCAAGCAGGAAGATGCTTCTTGCATCTTATTTGGCTTTAAACTGGAGCCAAATAAAATTATTAGTTCTTTATTATTAGATTATTAGGGCTCCAAAATGAAAGAAATAATCTGCAAGATGAATCTTCAGGCTCTCATCATTTTGGCTGCATGTATTTGGAGCAGATTCCAAACTTCTGACAGCTGCAGGAACAGAAAATAATGTCTTTCGGCTATTTTCAAAAATATAAATTAAATTTAAAATTTAAAATTCCAGATCTCTCTGTTTCATTTTCCAGTGGCAAGGAAGATTCTGGAACTGAAGAAGCATCAGGTGGATCTGGGAGGAGAGTGCAGCATCACAGTGGAGGCCAGGCCGGTTCATCTGATGCTGCCCAAGCTGGTGGAGGTAAAACAAACGACCACAGCGAATCGAAGACAGCGTCGGCCCAGGTTTAGCTGATCTGCTCACGTGTCCCGTCTGTTCCCGCAGATCGACTCTGAGGTTTCTTCTCAGCGTATTTTAGTCTCCAACCTGCCCAGAATGGAGACCGACACTCTGCTGGACAAGCTGGAGATCCATTTCTCCAAATCTAAAAATGGAGGCGGTGAGGTGGCGGACTGTGAATACCTGTCTGACTCTGAGACGGTGGTCCTCACGTTTGCGGAGAACAACAGTGAGCATTGAATATTTTACCCTCATGTCACAGGGCACAGTTTGTTTAAATGAAACTTCATCATCGAGACAAGAATAACTCTGTGTTTGGTGGATTATGATGTTCTGAGCTGTGCATATAAAGAGTAATCAGGATTGTTGTTGTTGGCCACCAGCTGATGGACTGTTTCTTTTGTATTAGTTGCCAAACGTGTGGTACAAAATGAGTTCCATGACTTGAATCTCCAAAAGAAGAAGCACACAGTGAGAGTGACGCCTTTCATCAACGGGAAAATTTCAAACCTGAAGGTAAGAGCATTTATCAGATTATCTGTATCTGCTCTTATTCTATTCTAATAAAATATATTTTAATAAATTTGAGTGTTTTGTGTGTTTTGCGTGTGTGTGTGGTGGATCGTCCATCAGTCCAAGATGACGCAGTGTCCTCGGGCGGTAATGCTGACAGGAATACCCGACATCATGGAGCGGGAAACTCTGCAGGACCTGCTAGAAATCCACTTCCAGAAAAACACCAACGGCGGGGGAGAAATCGAAG